TACTTAATTATCATTTTTAATAACATATATCAAGAGCAAGTGTGTGCCATCTCCTGTAAATACACCCATCTACTTTCTTGAACGTATCTTTTTCTTTTTCTCTCTCTCTCTAATAAGTTGTACAATAAAACGCTCTCTGCAACTTACTCTGGAATTCTTTTCTATGTCAGGATCAAACAACCCACAGAGCAACTACACCCCACACCACCTAGCATCAAAAGAACTAAAAAAGAAAATCCTAAAGAATTAAAATAAAATGTAATAACTATGTGTCACCAAATAGAGAATGTTAATAAAGAGATGAAAATTATATATATTTAAAAAGGAACAAAACACAAATTTTAGAGACAGTGGAAATTTCTGGATAAATTCTGGATGGACTATAGGTCTATTGATGGATGGATAAAGAAATTGTGGTATGTATATGCATATTATATTCACACACACATCTAAATAAATATTATTCAATCATAGGAAGTATATTCTGCCATTTACCATGACATGGATGAACCTGAAAGACATTATATTAAGAGAAATAAGCTAGACATCAAGAAAAATACTATATAATCTTACATGTGGAATTAAAAAAAGAGTCAAATACATAGAAGCAGAATAAAACGGTTACTAGAGTGGGGAAGGGGCAGGAAGAAAATGGGGAAAGATAGGTCAAAGGATACAAAGTTGCATATATGTAGGATAAATAATTCTAGAGATCTAATAATATACAGCATGAGGGCTCCAGTTAATTTTATTCAGGATTTTTGCTGAGAGCAGATTTTGGGTGGTCTTGCTTCGTGCATGGATATGTTAGTTTGCTTGACCATTTAAACATTTTACTATGTAAAAAATTCTGGAGTTGAAGAAAAATCAAAGAAAGTTTCAATAGCAGTTTTAACTGACAGAAGAAAGAATTTATGAGACACTGAGGCACAGTGCCTCATAAACAGGTCAATTGAGATGCTCCAGCCTGAGCAACAGAAAGAAAAAGGAATAAAGTAAAATGAATAGAGCCACAAAGACCATCAAGCTACTAATATACACATAATAAATGAGTTCTAGGAGAAGAGAAGAGAGAGAAAGGGGAAGAGAATATTTGAAGCAATTATAACCAAAGTGCCTCAAAGTTGATGAAAAAACATCAAATCTGCATATACAAAAAACTCCAAGTCGATAAACTCGAAGAGATTCACACCAAAGACATTATAGTCCAGCTGTGAAAAGACAAAGAGAGAGTTCTGAAAACTGCAAAAGAAGTAATTCATTCCCTACAAAGCCCCCCCTGAAACAGGATTTCCCAGAAGCCCACTCCTGGAAACAAGCCAGGCAGATTCTGAGGTAACAATACTTTGTGAGTCATCAACAGGGCCACTCTATTGGTGGCGTCAAAGATGGCAGATGGTGAACTCTTTTGAACCTTTCAGGTACGCTCTCCTTTCCTTAAAATCTCTCCTTTGAGGCCCTGTCTTAGCCCTCTCCAACCTGTGAGTCAGGACTGAGACAATACAGCAGGTCATTATTGTAAGTAGTGTTGGGGTGATCTTGCAAGGACGCATCACTAGGAATGTGATATGACAATGACTGCCTGCCCTCTGAGGGCTACAGAACTTGCCCAGTTAGGAAACAGATAAGCAGTAAGTAACTCGGCTTTACACCGTATAGTATTTATTCTCAGCATAAGGTAATACATATTTCTTAAAAAATAAGTTCCTGGTCTTAAAGAATAAATATGAAGACTAGGGATGTTTCTTTAATTCATGTTTCAATATCTACATAGATACACATGTACAGTTTTAGATTGTACTTTACATCTAAATACGCATATTGGTATGGTACCTATTTTGTCTCTTTCTCAAAGATAATTTAGTAGTAACTTAAGAATAATTTGGAGATTAATTTTTTCCCCAACATTCTAACCCAGGAGACTGCCATTCATTCAGCTGATATTTTTTGAGCTAGACATTGTGCCCGATCCTGGACATAAGAGATGGGAAACATGGTGTTGCTAGTGGGACAGGAGGGGTATATACTCAATCTGAACTTGGCGAGAAAACATCAGGAGAGACGGCCTGGAGGAAGTGACTCCTTATCTGAGTCTTGAAGGATTCACTACTTGAACTGAAGTGAGATTAGGTGAGGTTATCCAGGGAGAGATACCAGAATAGTATGGAAGCGAGGGAGAACATAGCGTGATTCCAGATAAAGAACTATAATATGACAAGCTGGAGTGATTGGTGCAATCACTGCTTGACCTCATGGGCTCAATCTATTCTCCCTCCTCAGCCTCCCAAGTAGGTAGGACTACAGGCATGCGCCGCCACATCTAGCTCATTTCTTTTTATTTTATAATTTTCTTTTGTAGAGACCAAATCTTACTTTGTTGCCCAGGCTGGTCTTGAACTCCTGGCCTCAAACAATCCTCTCAAAATGTTAGGATTGCAGGCATGAGCCACAGCACTCAGCCTCCGCCAACATTTTAATCAATTTCCTCCTCTATGCACAGCTTTATATTACATGATTGGCTACAGAGACGGCAGAAAGGCATAATTTCAATCAAGTGTGACAAGTAACAATGGGAGTATGTAGAGACAGTTAATATCAGGGAGATGGCGAAGAACCTTTGTCTGGAGGGCAAGAGATGCACAGGGATTAAAGTCCATCACAGGAGGAAGGGTAATCTCAGTTGAGAACACGGCATGTGCTTCGGCATAGAGGCAGGAACTGGTAGGCAGGATCCTGAGACCTGTATGTAGTTCGTTATTGCTAAACATTAGATTTGGAGCTGGGTGAGCACAGAGAGAGACAAGCAGGAGTTGTGTTGCACAGTCTTGCGGGCATTTGGCTTTGATCTTTAGGTCATGGGTCTTCGAAGGTTTATAAGTAGGTGTGATATGATGGAAGAGTGTTTTTTGGAAACACCCCTAGGGCTACAGTGTAGGGAGGCAGATGGAAAGGTAAGATCAGTTCCAGAGATACCAGTGAGGCTGTTAGTGGCCTGAACTGGCTGGCCATGGTCAAGGAGATGAAGCAGGAGTGTAGTTTCAGTAAATGTTAAGGATATTTACTAGCAGGACTTGGTGGTTGAGGAATATCTGATTGGATAGTTCAAAGAAGAGAAAGAGGTCAAGAATGTGCTCCAGGTGTCTGTTTGTGTGACTGGGTGGATGGGGAGGCTACCAGGTGCTCGCAGCATAGGCATTGTCTCTTCTTATGCGCACATTTGTGCGTCGTTTCTTCTCCTCCACTCCCTGCTCCCAAGTTAGAAACAGAAAAACATGGGGAAGTTCCAGAAATCTCCCTTAGGGTCTCACATGGCTCCACGATGTTGTGCTTGGTGAGGTCCCCTGAGAGGGCAGACACTGGCAGCTTCCTCCAGAAAGCACAAAATGGAAACAAATGCCCTTACCAGGGTCATGCACCCTTTGTTTGGCTACAGGAAGGTCTTCCCTGCACTCTGACCATTTTCCCATATCCAGTCCTTTTTCTTATCCCTTGAGACACATTTGTAGTTACTGGAATTTCTGTGAATAGTTCTGACATCTTCGTTAGATGGCAATGTTTGAGGCCTTTCTTCTGTCTCCCTTTCTCCCTCTCTCTTTGACTCCCTCCTTCCCTCCCTCCCTCCCTCTCTCCCTTTCTTCCTTCCTTTCTTCCTTTCCTCCCCAACCCTCCCTCTCTTTCCTTAGCTTTTATTTTATTCTGAAATATACTATATTAACTGGGGTACATAAAATATCCATGCACAACTTAGCACGTGTTTATGACACGCATGGAATCAACACCAAAGCAAAGACATAGAATCCTGCGAGCACCACAGAAGCTCCCCTCAAGTACTCACCTAACCACAACCCTTAGTTCCACCTCTTCACCTCTAAGACTCCACACCAGTAACTACTATCCTGACCATGGGACTTACTTCCTTGCTTGTCTTTTGGTGTTATCACTGAAGCATGTTCTCAAACTATAAAGTTTTATATTGCGTGCTTAGAATTTTATTCTTTGAAATTCCTTGATCCTGCTTCTTCCTTCCTTCCTTCCTTCCTCCCTTCCTCCCTCCCTTCTTCCCTCCCTCATTTTCTCTTTCTCTCTGTCTCTCTCTCTTTCTTTCTTTCTTTCTCTCTCTCTCTCTCTTTCTTCACTGTGTTTATAAGACTCATCCATGCTATTGTAGGCAGCTGTGCTGACCATTGTGTGGTTACACCACCACTTTTTATTCCACTCTATTGTGATGGTCATTGGATTGTTGCCAGTGCTGAGTTTTTATGAACAAATCTCCTTGCGTAGGTTAGGACATGTATACGAGCTCACAATTCACAAGTCTCCTCAGGGTTTACATCTGGGACTGGAGCTGCTGGTTCATTAGGTGTCTTCACAATTCTTCCTCAATATTGTGTGAGTCCCCTTGTTCCACATCCCCACCAACATTTGCCATTGTCTCTCACCTTTTTGTTTTAAAATTCTGTTCTCAAAATAGACTCTTCTGCTAAAATAAACTCCCCTAGGCCAGTGGGCCTTGCACTCTGTGTCCCAGGTGGCTTGGAAGAGAGGACATTTCCAGGTGAAGCACCCTGTGTTGGGCATGACTAGAAGGATATGAGTAGTTCCCAAGGTAGAATGCCGAAACCTTAAATTAATCCTGAGTAGCTGAACAAAAGTAAGCTCTTTTGGGATTGTGGTTGTATTTGTGACACACCTCTTAAATCATCATGTTACACTTGTGTGCTCTGATCCCCTAATTTAGAGCCACTGTCCTTGTTTTTAGCAGCCTTAAGCTTCAATGACCACCTCTTCAGCCAAAGCCATGAACACCAGCATGTTTCTTTACTAAAGCTTGTCCCTCACAAACATCACCACAGCGACAAAGAGAGCAGGCTTTACATTTTCCCAAATCAAATAGTATAGACCCAAGGGCTGTCCCCTGGCATGTGATATTCACGGACATGTTCTCTCTGGTGCCCCCATAGGGTTTGACCTGAACTTGGCCAACAGGCCCATCCTCCATCATGGCCACGCCACCATCCTGGCTGACTAGGAAGAAGTTTCCCTTCAAGGTGAGAAAATGGATGGCATTTGGATGCTTCCAATCACTGGAAGTATCCTCTCCCAGTATTCGCCAGAAGAAACTAATCCACAAGTTGCAGGAAGAAAAGGCTTTTCGGGAAGAGATGAAAATCTTCCGTGAGGAAATAAAATACTTCAGGGAAGAGATGTGGAGTTTCCGAATCAAGATGCATATTTTCCGGGACCAGATCCTGGGTTTATGGGAAGAGGAGAGACCTCTATGGGAAGAGGAAAAAATCCTCTGGAAAGAGGAAAAAGCCTTCTGGGACTTGGAAAAATCTTTCCAGGAATTACAGAAAACTTTTTGGAAAAAATACCATACCTTCTGGAAGAAGGATAAGGCCTTCTGGAAAGAGGATAATGCCTTACGGGAAAGAAACCAGAAACTTCTTCAGGAGGACAAGGCCCTGTGGGAGGAAGAAAAGGCCGTGTGGCTAGAGGAAAAAGCCCTCCTTGAGGAGGAGAAGGCTCTGTGGGAGGATAAGAAGTCCCTCTGGGAGGAAGAGTATGCCCTCTGGGAGGAAGTGAAAGCATTCTGGGTAGAAGATGATGACTGGATTGCTGAGGAACTGATGTTCGAAGACAGGGTCTACGACGCCCACGCCGATGGAGGGCAGACATCGCTAGGCTTCTCCCGAGGCCAGGCATAGCCGAACTTGGGAGATGCAGGGCTGTGTGGTCCAGACTCCTCAGGGTTGGTATTCAAGTCCAGGGTGATCCCATGTGCTGGAGAAAATTCACACTCATTTGTCTCCTTGCTTTGAAAGATCTAATAAATCCTGACAAGGGGTTTGGAAAACCAACTTTTTCAAGGACGGTCAGCTGCATTTGTTCCCCCAGGTTCTGTGATTGTCCAGTCATATTACCACTGCCATTGTGTATTGCTGGCCCTAGAGGTCAGTCGCAGGCAGTTCCCAACGACTCTGGCCTGTGTGGGATCCCAGCTTGGGGGATGCTGCAGCTCTCTTCAGAAAAGTCAGAAAAGAGAGACTCAGGCAATGCCAGCTAGACACACACAGGGATAAAGAGGGGCTGAGACAACTCTGCCTCTGCCATGCGCAGGTGATCACTTCTTTTTCACTCTGGGCAGCTTTAGAGGCCTGGAGTGAGCTGACAGCTTTCCAGAAAAGGCCACTGTGCTGTTAACAATTCATTTCTGCTGGGTCCTCACGTAGGTCACTTGGAACACACTGGCAGGATCACTTCACAATCCACTCCCTGGTGCTTCCAAGTTCCACCAAACATCTCAACTGCCCAGATTCAGGCAGCATGTGAATGGGGATCTGGCATCAGACTGAGGCTCAAGGGTGTAGACAAAAATATTGTCCCTGAGGATGGAGTTGAGTGGACCCATGGGATGATCTGGGAGATATAAGAGAGTTCTCCCTGCCCCTGCCCCATGGATTCCTACTCACATGGGTCTCACTGTCCCTGCATTTCTGCATTATACGTTTTTTTCTTCTGGCTGGGCACGGTGGCTCTTGTCTGTAATCCCAGCTCTTTGGGAGGCTGAGATGGAAGGACTGATTGAGCCCAGGAGTTCAAGACCAACCTAGGCAGCACAGTGATCTTATCTCTACAAAAAATTAGCGAGGTATGATGGTGGGCACCTGTGGTTCCAGCTACTCAGGAGGCTGAGGTGGAAGGATAGCTTGAGCCCAGGAAGTCAAGGCTATGGTAGCCATGATGGTGTCACTGCACTGGGTGACAGAGTGAGACCTCCAAATCAAAAAGAAATTATTTCTTTGGGGTTTTCTGTCTTCATCTATTTTTAAATTGAAATGCCTCCAGGAATATAATACATTAAATGAATGTGCATTTATGTGGCCAAGCAACTCATGAGCCCAACTTTTCTTCTGGGAGTAAGGAGATGACACGGTCTAGATGGGGACGGGGACAGAAACAACCAGAAGTGGGAAACTAAAAAATGCCAAGACAAACATGTCCCTCTTTCCCTTTTCTCAGGCCTGGCCTTCACTGGTATTAACACATCAACTTATCTTGGCTTTGTGGGTCCCCCACTACTCAAGGACTTTCACATTTGCTGACTCATGTGGCCTTCACCACGACTCTGTGGGCTGACAGAGCAGGCGCTTAAACCTATTGTACAGATGAAAAAAACAGAGTCTTAGAGAAGCAAAGTGATTGCATGTGGCCAGGCAAGCAGCAAAGGGTAGAGCTAGGGCTAGAATTCACATCATCTGCCTCCTGGTATCCCAGTAGAGTCCTGGTTCATGGAATGTGAGCTCAACACAATGATAGTGTCAACACCGGCTGAGCCTTAAAGTACTCTGGGATTTCAGTGAGGCTTGAGGTGGTAGTAGAGGGGACATGGGAAGAGGAGAGGACAGGGAACTTTCATAAAGTCCCCAGATATGCTAGGCAAACATTCTTGATACCAGGAGAGCAGGCAGACTCCGAAGAGCCAGACCTCTGTGGTTCTAGATCACCCTGGAAAGGGTTCCCTGCAAAGTCTCCAGTTCTCAGAGGACTCAGGGCCAGGCCCATGGGGCCAGCTTTCTCCTTGGTGGCACTCCCATCCTTAGCTCCCTGTGGGTCTCCAGCAAAGACTTCAGCAAGCTATAGGGAGAGCAAGATGCTGGTGTGGAGCATCAGATATCAGGAGAGGCTGCCGGGCCCACACTCAAGATCTGCCCAGTGGGTGGTTTGCAGGATGGCAGGAGCTGCAGTGCAGTGAAACGTGCAACTACAAGAATCCCTAGGGATTCTGCTGAAGACAAAATGAGATTGTTAATGTTAAAATCAGAGAAATTTAGACTGGGTGTGATGGCTCATGTATGTAATTTCAGCACTTTAAGAGGTCAAGGCAGGAAAATGACAATCCCAGGAGTTTGAGAACAGTCTGGGCAATATAGCAAGACCTCACCTCTACAAAAAAATTTAGTGAGGCGTGATGGCACACGCCTGTAGTGCCACGTACTCAGGAGGCCGAGGCAAGAGGATCACTTGAACCCAGGAGTTTGAGGCTGCGGTGAGCTATAATTGTGCCACTGCACTTCACCCTGGGCAACAAAAGAGATCCTGTCTCTACAAAATAAAAGAGAAGAGAACAGAAGAGAAAGAAAACAAACCAAGTAGAGGCAGAAGCTGGGAGCATGTGGTAAATAGAAGTGACTCCCCTGGCAGCATTCCATAGAATTCACTGGGAGGAGCTGCCCAGAGAGGATGGTGGGTCCCTCTGTAACTCCATCCTTCACCCAGCAAACAGCTGTAAACTTTCACTGCCACAGGCCCTGTCCTTTTAGATCTAGGTGGAGAGATGGGCAAGTCAATAGGCCAGCACATAGCAAGGTGGTAAGAGTCAAAGCCATGGAGTGCTTCTGTGGTATCTTTTAACCTACTCTGGGAGTTTGGGATGGGGGGTGAGTGGATGGGTTCTGGAAAGGTTTTCTAGAGGAGGTGACAGTTGGGTGAAGCTTCACAGTCAGTAGAAATGAGCTAACTCAGGGGCTGAAATGTCGGAGGGCATTCCAGGCGGAGAGAACAACACAGGTGTTGAAACAGCCCAGCAATGTGAGGAGCTGCAAACACTTCAAAGAACATGAGGGAAATGCAGGACAATACACTGGATGAGAATGGCTGACATAAGGTCACTGTTCAAAACGTGGACTGTGGACCACAGCATTGGCTTCACCTGGGAGCCTGTTGGAGATGCAGAATCTTAGACCCCACCTGGACCTATGGAAGCAGGCTCTAAATTTTTTTTTTTTTTTTGAGTTGGAGTCTTATTCTGTCACCCAGGCTGGAGTGCAGTGGCACACTCACTGAAACCACAGCCTCCTCCAGCCGGACTCAGGTGATCCTTCTGCCTGAGCCTTCCAAATAGCCGGAACTACAGGCATGCACCACTACGCTGGCTACTTTTAAAAAATTTATTGTAGAGATGAGGTCTCCCCAAGTTGCCCAGGCTGATCTCAAACCTGTGGGCTCAGACAATCCTCTCACCTCAGCCTCTCAAAGTGCTGGGGTTGCAGGCTTGAGCCACTGCGCCCTGCCCAGGCTCTGCATTTTAACAAGTTCCCTAAATGGCTTTGAAGTTGGAGGCATATTTCCATAGTGTGATTGAGGGAAAGAGGCTGGAGTGGAGAATGAGGAGATCATTCAATGGGTCATGCAGGAATCCAGGTAAAAGCTGCTGGAGCTCTGCCCTGAACCACAGTAGATGCGGAGAAGGAGTCGCTTGGAGAGTCCCTGGGAGGAGATCAGAGTCCACTGGGGAGGGGGTTGGATTGGATTTGGAGTGTGCAGGAGAGGCCAGTGTCAAGGATGGTGTATGTGTAGGTTTCTGATGGGGATGATGAAGGGATGGTTGTACCTGTCACTGAGAGACCAAGGAAGAAGAGGAGGAGGAAGAGGAGGAAGAGGGGCAGGAGGAAGAGGAGAAAGAGCGGGAGGAAGAAGAAGAGGAGGAGGAAGAAGAGGAAGAGAGGAGGAGAAGGAAAAGGAGGAAGAAGAGGACAAGAAGGAGGAAGAGGAGGAGGAACAGTGGGTCTTTCCAGGGTGGAGGGAGATAAAGGGTGTAGTCTGGGACATGCAAGATTTTTAGATTCCCGTTATCTGCTCTGGAGAGCAAGTTATCCGAGCCTGGTCAGCACTTGGGTGAACTCAACCTTTCTCCTTGTTCACTGCTATCCAAGAAGCAGTCATGCACCCACCATCCCTTTGTGACACAAATCTTCATCAGTGAATTCCTCACCCACCCACATATTTATTCAGTCACACTCTGCCAGGTCTGAGGTTGAGTTCCTTTCTACCTGCAGGAAGCTTGCAGTCTCGTGGAGGAGACAGTCACACAACACAGTCTCATTATTTGTAAAGTCTGACAGATGCTAGGAAGGAGGAAGCACATAGAACTGCCCTCTCTGAGAGAACATTCCAGCATGCATCCCCTCGAGTGTTTTACACACAGAACAAGATGCATAGAGGCAAACACAACAAAGTTTTAGGTGAAGGAAGCTTAATCTAAGGAGAAATAATCTGTGTTAAACTGATAACTGGGAATTACTTGGCTCTCAGTGAAGGCTCAAGATGGAGAGAATGCAAATAACTTCATGAGTGCACTTTTAAGCCTCTGGGCTATGATTACTGCTGTTAGCACAAGCGGAGATAGATTTTTCTACAACCTCAGCAGCGGCCAAAGCTGGTTTCCATAGACAGCACCCATGACAGCATCGCTGAGCTCCTGAGAGATCTCCAGGATGTTTCCCGAGATAAGACACAGACAAATGTCTATGAGGCAACTCAACCTCCGTGCTTTGATCTCCTGGCAGGGAACAGTGTCATTTACACCGTTTCAAGAGTCCCGCTCATTCAGCTTGGTCCTAGATTCAAAATGAACCACCTTTTATTCCAGAATCATAATGCATACACTGGAAGATCCAGAGTTACCAGGAATAGCATCTATCACCATAACTGTTACCAATTCAATTCATGCACCCTCCTGAGCCTGAGCCCCTACCTCTCAGAAGGACTTACCCAAACCTGTCAGTAAAGGGAAGGATAACATTTTTGAAATGCAGCTCGAGCTGCCATAAAGGAATAATAGAGATCGGGTCACTCATCAACAACAGACATGTATTGCTCACAGTTCTGGAGACAGGAAGTCCAAGAACAAGGTGCTGGTAGATTT